TACTTCATTTTTAACATTTCAAATTGTTGTAGATGAATGGCCATGAAACTTACCAGAATTGTGTCACTGTCATTATTGGTGCAGAATAATAATAATTACAATTTAACTAGCTGTGCACACATACTTAACATATCTATATTCAAATGCACGCCAGAGAATGTAAGGACATTTTCGATTGTGCATTCTGCACACATCTTTGTTAAATCAAGACCATTTTTTCCAAACCAAGCAAAGACTTTAGTCCTCAACCATGAGAGCAATGAGGATTTGGAGCAGCCTCTCAATAAGAGCTGTGGGACAAACAACTTAGTTTTGAGAGAGAGCTGGACAAATTTTTGAGTGTGACTGTATGATGGAGTTGCTTAGGATGATAGGGGACAGGGCTCAACAGCCAACGGGCTCACTTCCCATTTATGTCTTAACGTTCCTAAAAGCTCATACTTCAAGGTTTCAACCAGTCACCTGCCAGAGTCAAGAAGGGATTTTTCCACCCGCCCCCAATGTATTCTGGAAGGTTTTTTTAAATCTCCCTCCTCTGAAGCATCAGGGATGGTCACAGCTGGAGATGAGTCACTGGACAGAGACCGCCAGGGTTCTGAGGTGTCACCAAACATTCTCTCTCTCGGGTACTTGGCTGACTGATTCCAGCTCACATGCACCCTTAGGCAGGGACCAAGCATGAAAAACTTCAATCTCATTATTGAGCTGTTCAGAAAGTTATGAAAGGAGGGAGAAAACGTAAACTCGTTTGCAATCTTATGCTATAACACCAAGTTTAAAAATCCTGGATTGGCAATAGGGTTGACTAGAAAGTCTAGAAGGTCTTTTCCATCTCCAATTTCTAATGATTTTACAAAGTCTAATATGACCTCTATCACTTTAAATAGCAGAGCTGGGAGCCTAGAAAAATTCTGCTCACACATGGTCATTTCTTTTGGACAAGTCTGTAAATTGCCTCCACTATAATCATAATCATGGTAAAGGTTGGGTGAACAGATTTTGTCCATAGATTGGTACATTTTCATGATAATTTTAAAAAGCTAGCTTTGATTTTAATTTTGTTATATTCTTTGTTGTGTCACATCATCATACCTAAAGTATGACATGTGACAGATACCACACTTAAAGTCTACTGCAGTTTCAGAGTGACACCATTTTCCATGACACAATCAGCACAGAAATTTTTTTTCCATAATTACAGATTAAAAATAAACAATTTAAATTATGAATATAAATGAGCTGGTCATTTTCAAATTAGATTATGATTTTCAATTCAACAGTTGCATCTTTGCTTATTTGTAGGAAGAAAACCTAAAACATATGTTGTAGAAATGTAAGCTTAATACCATGGTATAGTGTTCATAAAGAGAGATGAACTTCTGGCTATCAGATTCAATATCACTTCTTCTAAAACAGAAAACAAAATAAACCCAAATGAACAAACTATTTTCCTCTTATTTGCTGATTACACTACTATTATGGAATTGTCAAAATAGATCAATTGCATATTGAAAACAGCCATTTGTTTGTATATAAACTGAAAGCTGGGAGAGTCAGTATTTTTGACAACACTACAAATAAGCAGTATCTCTCTTAGAAAGAGAACACACACCCATAGTACATTAAAACTGAGGATAAATACACAAAACGCTTAAAAATCTTTAGTCTATAATTTGGACTTGACCATTCTGCTATTTAAAAAAATTAACAAAATTAAGTTTGAAAACTGTCTCCAATGCAATTGCAGTCTATTTTTTCATGTTTTATCACAAAATATAACATTTTAGGGCATGTTCCAGCTGCATAATTACCTGTGAGGAAATGTTAAATTTAGTTACTCTTCTTCTGCCTTCTCAGAATTTTAAAAATAATCTTTCTTTCACCATTGTAAACACCAAGTCCTCATCTTTTTCCCATGTTAATGACAGAGTCAAAATTAACATAGCTATTTTTGTTTATTTCCTGGTAGTGTACACAGATGATAGCATCACAATCATAAAAATAGTACAGTGCTCTTTATTCATAAACTGCTTTAATTAAAAAAAAAAACTAACAATGTTAGGAACCATTAGGAAAGGAATAGATAATAAGACAAAGTATCATAATGCCTCTATACAAATCCACCTTGAATACTGCATGCAGTTCCCATCGCCCCTTCTCAAGAAAGATATATTAGACTTGGAAAAGGTACACAGAAGGGCAACACAAATGATTAGGGGTGATGGATCAGCTTCCACCTGAGGAGAGATTAAAAAGAATGGGACTATTCAGCTTAGAAAAGAGATGACTAATTGGGGATATAAAAATCATAAATGGTGTGGAGAAAGTAAATAGGGAAGTGTTATTTACCCCTTTTCATAACCCAAGAACCAGAGGTCACCTGATGAAATTGATAGGCAGCAGGTTTAAAACAAAAAAGAAAGTACTTCCTCATACAACAGACTATCAACCTGTTGAACTCATGACCATGGGAAGCTGTGAAGGCCAGAAGTATAACGGGGTTCAAAAAAGAATTAGTTAAGTTCCTGGAGGATAGGTCCATCAATTATATTAGCCAAGATAATCAGGATGAAACCCCATGCTCTGGATGTCCCTAACACTCTGATTACCAGAAGCTGGAACTGGACAACAGAGGATGATTCGCTTGGTAATTGCTTCAGAGGGAATGAACAGAACAGAACATCTGGCACTGGCCACTGTCAGAAGACAGGATACCAGGATAGATGTACCACTGGTCTGACCAAGTGTGGCCATCATGTTCTTCTGCAGTACTAGGAAAGGAACCAGAAGAACCCTCAAAAATACTTTTCATTATTTTGCAGTTTTCCTGAAGTAAAACGGTAGATGTAAGCAAAAGTAAATATTTTTTCCTACCCTAAAATATACATTTTAAACCATTTTAAGGAAAGTCAAATGTTTGCTTAAAGTAAACAAACCTTACTTGATCCATCTGTGAAAACGTCATAATTACCATCAGAAATGTTGAGAGTGGGGTTGCTTCTGGATATGAAATTTCAAATTAACAAATAAAACCTTTCTGAAAACATTATTCAGTAGAACCGAAATGGTCCGTTAGCGTAATTTGTCTTTTTTATATAAAAAGGTAAATTATACAACAGAATGAGACAAATAGTGTGGCTGCAACAATAACAGCATAAAAATTAAAAGTTATTACTTGATCAAAAAAATCTTATTTGCCCGGGATGAGTAGAATTTAGCAAGAGAATAGGGACTGTGACATTACAAGTGAACCATTTTGGGGAAAAAAAGCATTCTATTTTCTTTTGCTGTCCATCCACAGTAAGAGTAAGTAATATCACTAATTTTTTTCATCATCAAGTGAAAGTGGACTTTTAAATTTTGTGCAGGGCAGTGAAATTTCATAAGAAATTTATGAAGCGGATCAGCATGAATAGTTAGCAATGTAATTAGGCATAAAAACAAGACATGAAAAATCCACTTGCCTAGTCATTCACATTGACTGGAGACCTTCCCCTGACAAATAGGTCCAATGTCACCAATTTACATATAATTTAGGATCTCAAAACCAAGTTTCTACCTATTTCCATTAGCATATCTAAGTGCTAATCCTTAAGGCTCTGAAAGAATCTTTCAAACGTGAACACATGCAATGCTGTCTTCCTGAATCTGAGATGGACAGCTCCAATGCCTCTACTCTACTTTGTCCTGCTTTGAGCAGGGGATTGGACTAGATGACCTCCTGAGGTCCCTTCCAACCCTGATATTCTATGATTCTGTACCATTCATATCTTTCCCAAGAAGCAGCAAAGTGAAATTAAGATGACTAGTCATTTTTATTATGCTTAAACTTTATTATTTGTATTACAATAATACTGGAGAATTCCAGTCAGGATCTTAGTGTGGTGCACAGATGTTATTCAGAACTTTGGGGCAGAAGTGAAATTGGCTGCTTGGGAAAGTTTCCAGCAGCCATGAGGCAGACACTACCACGATCAGGGATCAACTCACAAAAATAAAGTGGAGGAGAGTGAAATAGAAGGCTCTCTCTCCCCGCAGCCAGGAGGCCCAGACCTGACAGGAGAGGGGGGGAAAGAACAAAAAACGAAAGCCCTTCACTTATACAGCAGCCAAATAGGGGGAAGGGGGGGCGGGAAGAGAATTCATATTTACTCAGCATCCACAAGCCAGAAGCTGATGTAAAGATTATAACAGGTGCGGGGGATGAGGACAGTATCTGCTCAAAGAAAAGGAGGACTTGTGGCATCTTAGAGACTAACAAATTTATGCTCAAATAAATAAATTGGTCAGTCTGTAAGGTGCCATAAGTCCTCCTTTTCTTTTTGCGAATACAGACTAACACGGCTGCTACTCTGAAACCAGTCTCTGCTCAGACTCCCAGCACCCTCGCACTTGACAGCGGCGCACCCTCGCACTTGGCCCTGCCCCTGGGACTCGCTGACGGGTCCCGCAAACCAGCTCGCCATCCCCGGCTCTGCTGGAAAGCCCCAGGGAGCGAGCCCAGCGCTGCTGCGACACACACGCACCCGGGCCGCTACCGGGGTCAGCTCCCAGGCGGGGAGGGGGGATTTCTGCCGAGCGCTCCGCGCAGGGAGGCGACAACGATGCTCCCCTTGCGGTGACGGGGCGGGGAAGCGGCCCCGGATCCCTCCCAGCACGGGACCCGGGAGCGAGGGACCAGCGCCCCCGCTGCAGCCAGCCCGGATCGTTCCAAGCGCCTGCGCTGCCCGCCCGGGTATGTCACTGGCAGCGGGGCGGGAGGCGCCTCGGGGCGGCGGAGGGCGGGGGGGGGAAAGGCCGTACCTGACTCCGCAGCGTCCGGCACCCGCAGCCATGTCACACCCCCCTCCACAGCACACCGCCGCCGGGCCCGCTCCAGCCGCCGCCACCGCCCTCTCCGCTCCGTCCCACCCCTCCACAGCTCTCGCGCGACTTCCAGCCAACCGTCGCGAGGTTCGCCGGGCCGCGCTCGCGCGCACTCGGTCAGGAAAAGGTCGTGTGGGAGTTGCCCTCGCCTCCTATTGGGCGAGGGGACAGCGCGAGCCCCTCTCCCCCCAGACTGAGCGAGACGGGGAGGGACAGGGGAGAGCGGGGTCAGCGCGCGCCTCCGAGCCCTGGCGCGGCCGTGACCAGTGGAGGGGGTGGGGGCTGAGCCCGCTGGCGGGCGAGGGAGGACTCGGAGAAGCGGTGCAGAAGGGGCAGCGCGCGCGCGCGCGCCTTATAAGGCCCCCCACCCCGCGAGACACGTGCGCGCCTGAGGCTCGGGCTGGGGGCCGGCCGGGCACCCACCCCCTGCAGCCGGGGGGCTGGGCGGAGGGGTCCTGCCCTTGTCCCTGAGCGGCCGAGCGAGGGGCTGCTCGGCTGTTGGTTCCCAGTCGCCGCGTTCGTGGGGCCTGCGTGACCTTCTCCGGCAGCTCTGGGATCTTCTCCTGTCGTTGGAGCCGGAGCGGCGCTGACCGGGCCTGCACCGCACGCTGTAGCCGTAGCTGGCTGGTGCATCAGCCGTGGGGGCCAGGAGCGGCCCTGCCAACCTTAGGCTACTCCGCACTCCAGTGACCAGCCCAGGTGGGTTAACTGTTTCAGCCCCACTCTTCAGGCGGGGGGAAGTCTGTGTGTGACTAGATCCTGCTCCCAGTCCAGTTGATGAGAGGGCTGCAAAAAAATGGCCACGGGCCAGCAAAAAGCAACCCCCGAAGCCAGCCCAACACGCGTCTTCTGATAAACCCGTACCAGTGCACAGACAACACCGAAACTCTCAAAGGCTTCACAAACAATCGGGCATTCAGAAGAGGGGAACCTCTACGGACTCCCACAAAAACACTCTCTTCAGCTCTAGCCAAGCTTTTGATCTCCCGAGAGCTGCATTCAGCTTCTCCCCCCCCCCCCCTTCCTGAGGTTAGATGGCCTTAGTGATAGGTAAGCACAAAAGTTAAAAACCGACGTCTTTTCCAGATTCTTCAGCTAGGGCCTGCCCCAGCTGGTACTGAACTCAATAGAAAGAGTCCTGTTGATATCAATGACAGTTGAATCAGGCCCTATTACCGGGAGAATAGGAAGCAGAAGATTCTGTTCATGGGAAGTCTGTCTGGAGGGATGCTCAAACTGAGGCAATGACAGCACAGTCTCAACCCCTTCTCTCTAATTTAGCCCCTGAGAACGTCTCTCTTCATTCCTCCCCAACCATTTGTTAAATTCAGCGCTGCAAGAGTGTCTCCAACCTGTACTCCAAGTCTAATGACATATTCAAAGTTTACAGTCAATATCTCTTGCAGGTTCTCATGCACTGTTACAACAATATAACACTTACTTGTATATGCTGCAGGGGCTCTTGCTCTCTTTTCTTATTTTTTAATCTGTATTAAAAATGGTGTTTCAGTTGGATGTATTCTTCATTTTATGGCAACATCTGTTGATTTATTAAAAAGTTTATAGAGGCTCCCCTATCATTTTAGCAGCCTGTAAGCAGGAGCTGTCCCACAGACGGAACACAAGCAGCAGCAGGAAGAAATGACACGAAGCACAATGATTGCGTAACAACTTGGAGCAGGGATCCTCTGAGAATGCTTCAAAATGCCCCCAGGATCCCCAAAGGTTGGCTTAACCCATGTTCCTGGGCCAAAGTAGCCTGAGAGGAGAAGGACCTACAGAACCAGGGATCTGACCAACTGCAGGCCCAAGACCGCCTGCATATGGTTGGGGCTACCCAAACATGCACACTGAGCCTGAACAAGCAGTAGTTGAGAGAAAGAAGAGAATTCCTCAGTTGCTCTCAGCCACAAAGATGATACCGGTGGCTCTACTAGCCAGGAAAGAATTAACTGCCAGCCATTTGGCTTCCCTTGTACCAGGGTACCCCAAAGCAGCACCTGTCCATATCACAGTGAGAGGTGCCCCGCCTTCCTACCAAGCTTGAACACTCTTGAGCCTTGTGCTTGATTTCCATACTTTCCCCTTTCATTCCTTGTTCCCACACACACCATTTCTAATTTCACTCTATTCTTTCCCTTAATAAAGTGTTAGTTTCTTCTTACTGCTGTTTAGTCCATCATCATTTGGTAGTTCTCAGATGCATCATGAGGTCATATAGGCTACACATGCATATATTTACCCTACTACTACCACTTGCATCTTAATCTGTATAGTCCAGGAAATCTAGCAAGTTAGGGGCTACAATCTGTGCATTTGCTGGGGCTTGGAGGATAAAGAACCAGGAGCCCACTGATCCCAAGGAGGTCACAGAGGTGGGACAAACAAGCTCCACCACTCTTGAGGACTAAGGAGGAAGTCAAATACACTTGGAGTCAAATTTGACCTGACAGTATACATTAAGAAAATGCTCCCAGGGAGCATTTACATATTCTGTATACTTGTCATCCCTACAGTAGATAAATTTCGAAAGTTCTGCAGTTGTCCAGTTAACAAGCTTATGACGGAAAGTTCCTCTTTGTTTCAAAATACCTTTCAGTGTTCAGGACAATTGATAATAGGGTGACCAGATATCCCAATTTTATAGGGACAGTCCCTATATTTGGGGCACTGTATTTTATAGGCGCCTATTACCTGCTAACCCGTCCCGATTTTCACATTTGCTATCTGGTCACCCTATCAAAGTAATAACTCTATCAGAATGGCTTTTTCTGAATGTCAAGACTTACTCAAAGTAAAATCATTTCAGAACAAAACAGGAACTAAATATGAACTAAAAGGAAGCTTTAAAAATAAACTGTGACATCTTTTTCCTTTTATTCAGAAATAATAAGTTCTTATGGCACTTTGCCAAATCTTTGACATTCAGGATTTATAACCACCAGTAAACCATGAAAACATAACCTACAGTACACCATTGTTTGCCCAGAAAATTGTTTTCATACATCGTGTTAGAAATGGAAATTATTGACTGTATTGAAATGTTGATATTTAGTCTGATCTAAATGTTGCGTTTGTGATTACACAAGAAAATTGGTTAGTTATTGGACACTTCTTATTCTCTATGTTGCCTCTGAAAAGAACATCTCACAGCAGCAGTTTCTGGGCTCCCGAAGCTGGATGTTCTATAGGATATATCTAGTTTTATTTTTCATGTATGCATGGGGGGGAATACAAACATATCCATTGCAAATGATTGAAAATTCAGAAGTTGGTAATTTTATTTATATTCTAGAATCTTCCATTCCTAGATGCAGTAGAGCAACCCGAAAGGCAGCAAATAGTTAATTGCCTTTTACATTCAATTCACATTTTCATTTTAAATACAGGCGTACAGGGACAAAGGACAAACAAAACTTGTATCTAACCTAACATAAATAAGACTGGCTGATTAAGACCACAATATGGTGGGTATTACGCTGCCCAAGTATCAGCTACCTTGCTAACTATTGCTAAAGAGTTTGTAAATCCATGTGGACAAAATTCTGAGGTAGAGTAACAGGACTTAAAATGCATGTTGGAAATAGTTTCAGATTTCAGAATTGTCTCTCTTTCTCTTTAGAGATCAAGCAAGGCCTACTTACATAAACCCACTACTGTTTTGTGGCAGCTCCTGCCATCTTTACTAGCTGTCTCCATTAATACAATAATTTCTAGTGCACATTTTAGGATCAAACCAGCCTTAGCCAATAGCTGTTTTTGGATTGCTTCATTTGCATAGCACACCCAGCAGGCCTTTAAATTAATGTGTCATTTAAACTCCAAACTGGCAATGCTCTGTTAATTTTCTTAATTTGCCCACATATTCGTTTGCTTTTTGATTCAGCATATAATTCACTTTGCAATTAACAGTGGCTTTGAGGATAGGTGATTTTGTAGAATTTCCACTATCTCAGCAAATGCTTTGTCTGTGGATTTAGTAGCAGTTATACCATGCAGCGTCTTATAAATTTAGTCCATTATGCTCCATAAGACCACCACCTTTTTTGCAACAATTGAATTGGTAGTTATGTACCATTGCAGACTCTTGACACAGATAAGCCATTCCTTTACTAAGCTATCAAGTCAGTTTTCCCAAACAACCAGACATTTTTAACGCTTTACTTTGTAAATGAGTAGTTTATTCAGTCCTGGTGGCTGCAGGTTCCTTTTCAGTTTCACTATAGCTCATGGTCACTATTTCAGTGTATTCCTGGATTAAGATCTCGTTGCCAATTGTTGTGTCTTTTCCTTTTTACAGAGTATGCAAAGCCTACCTACTGTGACAACGTTCCCCCTCTACCTTGGTGGGTCTTGTGCTTATTGGCGGATTTGCTCGCCTCGGAGATTCACGGCAGCCCTCAGCTTGGCCGTTTTCGTGAACCCACAGTCCAGGTCAACTCCTCCTGTGTCTGATCAGGAGTTGGGACGTTTGGGGGGAACCCAGGCCCGCCCTCTACTCCGGGTTCCAGCCCAGGGCCCTATGGAATGCAGCTGTCTAGAGTGCCTCCTGGAACAGCTGTGCGACAGCTACAACTCCCTGGGCTACTTCCCCATGGCCTCCTCCCAACACCTTCTTTATCCTCACCATAGGACCTTCCCCCTGGCGTCTGATAATGCTTGTACTCCTCATTTCTCCAGCAGTATGCCTTCTCACTCTCAGGTCCTACTGCCTCTTGCTCCCAGCTCCTCACATGCGCACCACAAACTGAAGTGATGTTTGTGATGTTTTTAAACCAAGGTGCCCCGATTATCCTGCCTTATTTGATTCTAGCAGCTTCTTGATTGGCTGCAGGTGTTCTAATCAGCCTGTCTGCCTTAATTGTTTCCAGAAAGTTCCTGATTGTTCTGGAACCTTCCCTGTTCCCTTACCCAGGGAAAAGGGACCTACTTAACCTGGGGCTAATAGATCTGCCTTCTATAACTGTCCTTTAGCCATCTGGCCCGACCCTGTCACACTACATATATACACACTGCTGATCTGGCAGGTTTGGTGCATGCAACACTGCACACACTAGAGGGCGCTCAAACTATTTAAAGGGATACTACCAACACACTAGAATAATGTTTGGAAACTTACTAACTGAGGGATTGTCTCACAATCTTCCTTGATTTTCCTCAAAGATACCAGAGGTACCAAGATTTGAAACATTTACAAAATCCTGGACTGAGATCCTCCTCCCTTTTTCAGCTCCTTTGCGCAGACAACCTGAAAGCCCCATATCTGATCAAGGGAGAATTTTCCCAATGCAGGTACTCGCAAAGATTCCCTTGCAAGCCCTTGTGTAGGGTTTGTGCTGGGGTGGGGATGTGGGTAAGAGAAGACTATCAGGGGAAGCACTGCAGTACACAGCACTGTGGAGATTCTGAACAATGCTATAAAAACATAGAAATGTAGAAGGGACCTTAATAGGGCATTTAGTCCAAGCCCCAGCACTGAGACAGGACTATAGTCTGTATGGCAGGGTAAAGAGGCTGATGCAATTTAGACAAGCCCCTGGCCTATGCCAAGTTACACTAGAGAGCTCTCCAGCCTGCAGAGCAGCTCAGGATCAAGAGCGCACAAGGTTGACTTAAAGCCATCATAGGCTGCAGTAAATAATCTCAGCCCTGCTAATTAAAGTTGTCACAGTTGGTAACTAGAGAGACTAACCTGGTCAGTTTGCCATTTTCATGACTATCAAATTTTACTGTGATTCGGTTTAAACCATGAACTTTACCAAAATTATAATTTCCAGCTTCTTCAGAATCTGTTTTGTCCTAGAATCCTAATTAAATTCCAAATTTAAATGCCAACACCTTGTAGATAGCAGCTTGACTGCCATTTGATGATGGTCCATCTATTGGTATCTTCAGTATTACAACTCACACTGAGAGTGGAGATAAAAATAATTAAATAATTCCTCCAAAGATATAGTACTGCACAGTAATCCCTAAGCACTGCTCTAAGGCTAATTCTAAGATGTGTTTTGGTTCATTGTGGAGAGAGACTTTATATATTACACATTAGTACTTTTTGAAATAAGACATGAAGGAGATTGTGCTGTTCTTTTGGACTGCATCCATCATATAAAAACTCCAACACTTTAATCTGAATTGACGCAGGAATGATCGCATGCATCCCATTTCATCAAACATCCTTGTACTATGGAAAGTTCAAGAGGAGTGAGAGATTATAAATTTTACTGACAGGACTTTTCTGAACAAACTCATGGAGAAGTGTTCAAGTGTGTATGGATCATTTGATTAGAAATAACAAAATATTCAACCAGGTTTACATAAAAGATCTTTATTGAAATAGCTCCTTGATAACGAAGACATTATTCAGAGCAGCATGAAGTCCTCTACCTTGGAATACAGTTTGTCATTTTACTGTTGCATAGTGCAAGACTGACTTTAAAATATGGAGGAGCCCAGGAAAATTATTGTGGAAGAGTCTCATTCCATCCATCTCTTTTCCCTTCTCTCATCTCATCATAGGAAACATAGGAATTGCCATATTGGATCCGTCTATAATATACTCCTGTAACTTGTCCCTGACAGTGGCCAGTTACTGCTGCTACAGAGAAAGCTGCAATAAACCTAATAATTAAAGAATAATCAGAACATAGGGGAAATTTCTTCATAATCTCTAGATAATCAAGGTGGGTGAGATAATGTCTTTTATTTCAGCAACTTCTGTTGGTGAGAGAAACAAGCTTTCAAGTTATGCAGACCTGAGGAAAAGCTCCAGCAGCAGAAGTCGGTCCAATAAAAGATATTACCTCACCCACTTTCTCTCTCTAATATTCTGGGACCGACAGGGCTAAACCACCATTGCAAATTTCATATCTCTGATATTAGCACAATCATCTTGTGTCCAAAGCATGAGCACATATCTTTTATTTGAAAAAGATATCCTATCTCATGCAACTATGAATGTTCTCGCTATTCATATAGGCCTGATCCAATAAGTCCCATTGACTTAAATGGGCATTGGATCAGGCGCCAAGTGATTAATCTAAATATCTCATGCTAGTGAGTTTCACATGCTAAGTGTGGGCTGTGTATAAAGCAATGCCAATTTATCAGTTTTAAATATGATCTCTTTAAATTTCAATGAATGCCACGTTGTTCACTATGAAA